TCAACACAATGTTGGTGGCAAGTGCTGCTAGCGAGCACCAATGAAGGCCGGTCCGGCACACGAGGGGCTGGGTGGCCTGCACCACGCCCGGCCGCCTTTGTCTCCCGAGTGGCGATGTTTACACGCACAGCACTGGGTATTCATTTGAGGCTGAGTCGACCTAGGGGAGGCCCAGGACCGGTTCAGATAATCGTCACTGGTGTTGGCCGTAAGCGAGAATCGAGCTCGGGGTCCCCGGGTTCACAGCCCAGCAGGCTAACCGCTACGCTACCGCTCCCCACGCACACACGCACACACAGACTCGCACACACGCACACACAGACTCGCACAGACTCGCACCCGGCTATGTGCGAGGAGACAGGCCAAGACGTCGAGGCAGAAGCGGATGACTGTGGGTAATAACTCGTGCTTCACACCGAGCAGCACCTGGGTTCGATTCCCTACCCGGGCACCGGAATAGGCGCAGTTTGTTCTCGCCCTGTGCCTGCGTGGTTTTCCTCCACACAATGCAACTGATATTGGCCAAGCCACATCCCAAGCTGAAAATTTATTTTCAGATAACTCCAATTGGGAATACACAGCAGCAGCATCCCCCACCATCCCCCCCCCCCCCCACAGCAAAGCCTTGGCAGGACCCTCCTGAAAAAGAGTCTTGAGACTCAGTGAGGCTCGCCTGAGTAAACAAGCGGAATCACAACAAAAAGAGCAAGCCGGTGGAGGACAGGTGTAGACCTTGTAATTGATGGACGGGAAACACGGCGAGGTGACCCCGATAGTGATGACATCACTCTCGCCCCTGGACCGTGGTTACAGACAATAATGCCGCGAGGTGACCCCGATAGTGATGACATCACTCTCGGCCCTGGACTGTGGCTACAGACAATAACATCGCGAGGTGACCCCGATAGTGATGACATCACTCTCATCCCTGGACCGTGGCTACAGACAATAACATCGCGAGGTGACCCCGATAGTGATGACATCACTCTCGCCCCTGGACCGTGGCTACAGACAATAACATCGCGAGGTGACCCCGATAGTGATGACATCACTCTCGCCCCTGGACCGTGGCTACAGACAATAAGGCCGCGATGTGACCCCGATAGTGATGACCTCACTCTCGCCCCTGGACCGTGGCTACAGTCAATAACATCGCGAGGTGACCCCGATAGTGATGACCTCACTCTCGCCCCTGGACTGTGGCTACAGACAATAACATCGCGAGGTGACCCCGATAGTGATGACCTCACTCTCGGCCCTGGACTGTGGCTACAGACAATAATGCCGCGAGCGCTGGTCAAAGGATTATTTTTTTACAACTCTTTTTCTTACTCCAAACTCACGTTTAACTTACATTAAAGCTACATATATCATGAAATAATAATGTCACGTAATGAATCTTGACTTAAAGCTTTCGTGACTCCAGGAATTCATATTCTTTGGGTCTTTCGGTAAAGTCACGTAGATAGGTACAAATCAATAAAAATAATCAACATAAATTAAACAAAAAACTACGACGTTTAGATCACAACACAAGCGATCGCCATCAGGAGGAATGAGGGGGAAAGCTTTTAAAAGATTTTAAACACGGTCGGACAAACACGTCGGCCGCGGCTGATCATTGTTTTAATGCTGTTGGCTCACGTGAAATTGATTTCTCTAAGACGAAGGTACTTTGTAAACCCATTGGCCATCAACAAAGATTCGTTCATGAAGCCATCCATAGACACAGACACAATTTCAACCGAGAGGATGGGTACAAACTCAGCAACCTTTGCAAAGACGTCATCAACCAGTTTAAGTCATCACTGGCTGTGATGTTCCCATCCTGCCAACTTCCGATGTTATTTTTATTTTTTCCCCGTGGCTTCGGCTCCCCGATTTCACATCAACAGGTTTAATTTATCGCGCCTACGTGGCCACCCCAGGACACCGACTTCTACGTCGCGGTGGCTCTGCGATCTCCCATTAACATCACGCTAAACTCTCACATTAACATATCCACCCACGCACATTAACACGCTAATCTCTACATTAACATATCCATCTGTGCACATTAACACGCTAATCTCTACATTAACATAGCCACCCACGCACATTAACACGCTAATCTCCACATTAACATATCCACCCGCGCACATTAACACGCTAATCTCTACATTAACATATCCACCCACGCACATTAACACGCTAATCTCTACGTAAACATAGCCACCCACGCACATTAACATGGTAATCTCTACATCAACATATCCACCCACGCACATTAACATGCTAATCTCTACATTAACATAGCCACCCGTGCACATTAACACGCTAATCTCTACATTAACATAGCCACCCGTGTACATTAACACGCTAATCTCTCACATTAACATCACTAGGACCACGCCCTATAACACAGTCTGCATTCAGTAGCTTTCCCCCTCTTTCCTCCTGATGACGATCGCTTGTGTTGTGATCGAATCGTCCTAGTTTTTTGCGTATTTTATATTGATTATTTTTATTAACTTGTACCTATCCACGTGACTTTACCGAAAGACCCAAAGAATCTGTCATGTAATATTAAGGTACATTAATCCACCAGCTTCACAGGCTGCGCGATATTCACGCCCGTCAAGTGTGCCGTTTAGCACGCTAATTATGCAAATTAAGCATTAAGATTACTCTAATTGGCGTACATTATGTAGCCGGTCTCCATAGCAACAACGCGGCACTGCTTCACGTACTGCCTTTGCTGCAGCATTCGGAGTGAATAATTCTCTCACTGTACCTCCATCTGTTGTTATTTTATTATTCCATAGTTCCATTTCCATAGTTCCATTTATTTTGGTATAGCCCTGTGAGCCATTCGGCTCTCGAATCGGGTGCAACCGCAACAAACAAAAAAACGAACAAGAAAACATCTTAAAGTGACTATGTGTGACTGTGCAAACAGAAAATCCAGGAAAAAAAAACAGCAAAATATTCCTGAAATAACACCGTACACCAACGCTGTGTGCAAAATATCCCAGTGGGATGCAAGTCAAACAACAACAACCACAACAACCACAAGACAACTAAGATTAAGGCCATCCGTCTAACTCCGTACTACAACAAACAAAAACATGGCCAAACCAAAAAACTTTTCGAAATCACCAAAATAAAGCCATAAATGCAATGGAACAGTGATCACAGGGACTGTGACCGAATTTTTAACAACAAACTACATAGAGCCATAGCTGGCTGCATGAGTCACTCCACAACAACAGGAGCATCAGTCGGAGTATCACATTTTTCAATGCACCTTTAAGATCGGCACGATAAATCAAAATACAGATAATACTTTGCAGCGGTCATCCGGAGCGAAAACATTTTATTTTATTTGCCCAGCGGTGTCTCACCCGAGTTTCAAGATTCTTGAAACTCGGGTGAGATACGCGATGTTATTGCCGCTGCTGTGTGCGATCCCAACTGAGTAATTTGCAAGTATTTTGTCAGCAATGGCGATGTTTGGCCAATACCAGTCACGCCTTATGGATTCTTTTTTTTTAAATTGCTACGGAAGAGGCCAGGAGAAACCCCGTGCAGAAAAATGGAGAACGTATAAACTTGACACACCAAGGCACCCAAGTTGTGAATCACACCCTGGGCCCCTTCTTGCTACAAGGCACGACCCTCGGAGTGAAAGCTACATTTACAGTCTGTCGTGTTTTCATGTCAGCTGCCGTCCCCACAGCCAAACAGCCACCACACCGCTCCCCAGCCGAGGCAAACAAACCGGGTTCAGCAGCAGCAGCAGCCACCCGGTTTCTCTGACGTCGTTCCCCCTCTGGAGAATCATCACGGTACAGGAAAGGGAGCCGGTGTGTAAAGTGCCGGTAGTCGTGTCGGCTCTCGTGCTGCGGCGTCACGTACCGGCGGGTGTACACCGCTGGGTACGACCGCTCGCTGCAGGCTGGAGGAAGCGTCCAAGCGTGCTCGTGGTCCAAAACCAACACTTGCCCGCGATGCGAGCGGCACAGTTGATTCACAGGGACGGTGGGCCAACTGGACCGGGCCTACGTCCAGGCAGGGTTGGCCCCAGCCCAGCGGCAGGAGCCGCTGCTTTTAGGGTGAAACCCCGAGCGTGCACGCTGCTCTCCCTCGTTCCCGACACAACAGCCGCGGCGTGGGCACGCCACGCTCTCCCGGGCTCACGGCGGCGGTGTCCCGCCAAGTCCCGACACGTTCACGTCCTTCGTTAAAACTCCCTCACACGGCGACCGCGACTCTCACGGCGAGGGGACGGACATTCTACGTCAAGCGGCGGCGGCGGCGTGCGCCGTTTATCTATTTGTATGTTTACATGTGTGACTGGGTGTGATATTCATTGTATAAATCCAAACAGTGTTGGCGATGCATTTCAAATTTAACATACCTGTAATTATATGTTCGCTATGTACCCTTTGCAAATGAGGTGTTTCATCTCCAAGGACTGCTCAGGTGAAACTTTTATGGTTTAATTTCTGAATGATTCATTTTTGTAATAATCGCAGATTAAATTTGTGCAATAATACCAGGTCAAACTTTCTTCCTGATCAACGCAGCAGTTAGACAGCATTCATTTCCATTGGCAGGAGCCAATGCTGGAAATTCCACAGTCCCATGTTGGAGGCAGTCTTTCCCGAGGATAACAACTCGCTTCCCACAAAGTGGTACTAATTTTATCAACCTTAGAGAGGGGGCGATAGGCTCAGTCAAACCCCAACTTGGGATTTAAATTCCCCACCTTCCAAATGCGTATGGCAGATGCACACCAACGGCAACCGGGACTAAAACGCTAACTACCTAAATCTCCTTCAAGCTACTAAACGGAATCCGACGGACGTGGCACGAGGTCACGCATTTTGCCGGGAACTGCCGTCTGAATCCCTCCCCAATCCACAGAGGGTTTCAACCAAAGCCGCCCTCCACCCCCTTCTCATCCAATTCGAGGCAAAAGGCTTCAAAGCCATCGCGGAGGACCGGCCGGTGCTCACCTTCACCTCACACCGCGCCGTAGTCGGCCCACAGCTGCTGCGGGAAGCGATCCACGTGTCTGAATGGCGCGAACTTGGCACACCGCTAGGGTCACGTGACGGAGCGGTGTCCCGGTAGGCGAGCGCAATCACACACGGAGATGGGCGGGGAGAATATACAGAGAAGTATACAGAGAGCGTACAGAGAGTATACAGAGAGTGTATAGAGAGTGTACAGAGACCGTACAGAGAAGAACAAAAAACAAGATGATACATGGAGAAATCCCAATCGTGTCCCTCCATGCGACGTAATTTTCTTCACATCCCATTGGCTTACGGCGCCCTTCTGGGAATCATGGGAGCGGTGGCAGCCTTCAGTCATTTGCAGGTGGCTTTCTTTCGGATAAAACAAATTTTAGTTTTAAATTATCACTTCTGGAATGAAACCACAATTGTAAAACATAACTTGTATTATTTTTTGAGAATACTTAATTGCCCTTAAAATAATAACAATAATTTACGTCTAAACTTATTCCAGGGTGGCCCTGCTCGTGATATCACGAACGTATTTTAATACACTTTCATTTTAGTATTAATCTGGAGGAAATAATTATAATATCTGACCAGTATTATGAAAGTTTACTAAAATAAGTGGATTCATAATACTTTAGTAACATCACGAGGAAATAACAATAACATCTGACACTGAATCATAACATCAGTCATGAAAGCCTCGGTGTAAACACTGGGCACACCCGCGCCATGCCCACCCGCCGAACACACCGAGAAACAGAGCGTGGAGCAGAGCGTGGAGCACAGAGTGGAGCACAGCGTGGAGCACAGTGAAGCACAGAGTGAAGCACAGCGTGGAGCACAGCGTGGAGCACAGAGTAGAGCACAGCGTGGAGCACAGAGTGGAGCACAGCGTGGAGCACAGAGTGGAGCACAGCGTGGAGCACAGAGTGGAGCAGAGTGTGGAGCACAGGGTGTAGCAGAGCGTGAAGTACAGCGTGGCGCACAGAGTGGAGCAGAGCGTGGAGCACAGGGTGTAGCAGAGTGTGGAGCACAGGGTGTAGCAGAGCGTGGAGCACAACGTGGAGCAGAGCGTGAAGCACAGCGTGGCGCACAGCGTGGAGCACAGCGTGGAGCACAGCGTGGAGCACAGAGTGGAGCAGAGCGTGTAGCAGAGTGTGGAGCACAGCGTGGAACACCTCGCCTTGGTCCGCTGGCTTCTGACATTTCTCACGTCGAGGCCGAGCATATTGGCGGTGGCAGCTTTGTGCGACGGAAGGGGTCAACACAGCCAGCCTGGATATTTTCGGAGTGGTTTTCCCACACCACCACCAGCACCACCACCACACAGTTGGGCGACAGCGTAGGCATGGAAACCAGCCGGGTGGCTCGGCGGTAAAGTGAGCGGCTCGCAGGCGGAGATTCGAGAGGTCAAACCCTGGCCGGGGGTTCACTCGGCCCGCCGTCCCTCTCGGCTAGAAAGTATTGGTGCCACTTTTGTGGTGAAGTCAAGAGGGGTTGTCCTATGGACACAGACTCATCCTCACCATAGCAATGTGGAATTTCCACCGAGGGCTCAGGGCCGATGAACTGAAGCCACTGCTCTGCCACAGCTACTCAGCCCCTGCTGCTCACCCACCCCACCACTCCCCAGAATAATGGCAAAGCCCCGCCCCACCCTCCCGATGTATTCGGTGGCAAGATGTTAACTACCTCACCTGGTATACAGGATGTTGTGGATTGTATCCCGACCCCAATGCTTGCTCCGTATTTTAAGTTCGTGTGTTCGCCCCGTGATCGCGTGGACTTTTCTCCGGGTCCTCCGGTTTTTCCCTCCATATGTAGAATCAGCATTACGCGTTCAGAGCATTTAATTTGAATGCTATAAATTTCCACATGATAGGCCACTTCGTCGAGCAATTATTAGTCACCAGGTCACTTCTGAAAAAAAGAGCTACATAGTTCTGTGGGCCTTACCTGGTAAAATAAAAATAGTTTAAAGTTTTAATTAATTATGCCTAGCCCCACGCAATGCCCCCCCCTCCGCCCCATTCATTAATTGGGAAAGGTTGTGATTGGGCCGAGAATTCTGGCATGAAACACTCACTCACTCATTCACTTCATAATTTCCCTCTAATAATGGAGAGGGCACCTCCTGGAATGAACAATACGTAGAGGCGGATGAGGTGGTGACTATGAATCTGATGATAGGCTGGGAAGATGTGTGACGATAAGATACTGAACGGGTCACAAGCAACCCAAGGGTCTCCCAACCTCAAATATTTGTAGTCGAACCGCAGGAGTGCAATTAAATATAACTCCTTCAAACACACAAAACACCAGCAACAAGATCCTACATTGTAAAGTACGTTTCCAATGCATTACCATTCAGTCGGGGTGCTAATGCTATTGTGTGCTTATAATAGACAATACCTGCTACCCCAGCGTAATCCTACTGCACAAATGTGTTTTGGTTTTTGCTAACGAAAAATTCGTGTGAAAAATAAGAGGCTTTACCCTTTCTGGCAATAAAACAACAGGTGTTAAGATGTTCAAACACCAAATGGAAACCTTTTTCAAGGAATCAAGTCTGCATTAACCACAGCACTTGCGGTGAACATGCAAACAAACGTGCTCTGACCATAATATATGGGCATTGTCTTTGAAATTGATGGTCCTACACCAGAGACAGCCTTCTTTAGGGCCTAGTGTCACCAGTGTCAGACCAGAGAACGCCAAATGGCGAACAGAACAGAGACGATGCCACAATCAGAGCATTGATAGCTGTTCACCTTTTGGCGTTCTCCGGTCTGACACTGGTGACACGAGGCCCTAAAGAAGGCTGTTTCTGGTGGAGGCAAATCAGTTTCAAAGGCAATGCCCATCTATTATGATCAGAGCACGTTTGTTAGCATGTTCACCATAAGTACTGTGTGTGGCTAATGCAGTAACTTGATTCCATGTCCACCACAAGTACTGTGTGTGGCTAATGCAGTAACTTGATTCCTTGTTCACCACAAGTACTGTGTGTGGCTAATGCAGTAACTTGATTCCTTGTTCACCACAAGTACTGTGTGTGGCTAATGCAGTAACTTGATTCCTTGTTCACCACAAGTACTGTGTGTGGCTAATGCAGTAACTTGATTCCTTGTTCACCACAAGTACTGTGTGTGGCTAATGCAGTAACTTGATTCCTTGTTCACCACAAGCACTGTGTGTGGCTAATGCAGTAACTTGATTCCTTGTTCACCACAAGTACTGTGTGTGGCTAATGCAGTAACTTGATTCCTTGTTCACCACAAGTACTGTGTGTGGCTAATGCAGTAACTTGATTCCTTGTTCACCACAAGTACTGTGTGTGGCTAATGCAGTAACTTGATTCCTTGTTCACCACAAGTACTGTGTGGCTAATGCAGTAACTTGATTACTTGTTCACCACAAGTACTGTGTGTGGCTAATGCAGTAACTTGATTCCTCGCATCAATATCTATTTGGTGTTTGGACATCTCAACACCTCCTGTAGTATTGCCAGAATGGGTAAAATCTCTTATTATTATTTGTCATACTTTGATACCGGCAAAAAGGTTCCATGATAAAAAAACAAAAATTGTGCGTCTTCATCACATTCACGCACGATCGACGAGAGACTGCGTGCCCGCACGCAAAGCAAACACACCGACCTTCGCATGTAAATGACCACGTGATGCTTACTGTGTGCTGTTTGTAACCGACAAAGCGAGGCCCCAATCTCGCTAGACCGAGATGCGATCCGTACGAGGCAATTTGTTATCCGCCCAAGCCAAGAGTCTGGGTAACCTGTCATCTTGTCTCATGTCGTATTCCGCACGCTGGTCACATGGAAATCACAAGACTCAGGATAACCACCATCACCACGAGGCCACGTGTCTTAGACAGCCTTCGTCAGCGGGGCCGAGTATCACCTCTTACGAGTCCCACATTCCAATTCGAACATTTCCAATGAGTGTTTGCAATGTATCTTTAACGCTATGTTACCATGGGTGTCGGGTGAATACACTGCGGTAATTACAAGTCATATCAAAATATATCATTTTGGTACAAGTCTTAAAGTAACTCTTGCCGCTTTGAAGTTAAACATTGGCGAGTTGTGCGCTCTAAGTGGACTTTTCGAAGCGTGTTCTGCGTGCAAGCCAAATTCTGTTCAAATAGTCGTGCACACGTACTCCCTAAAGCCGCCTCTCCTTGAACAGCAATCAAGTTAGTGTGCCTAAACAAATGGTTGAGGATGTTCACATCTCCGGCCATGCGCACGCGTTCCGTCACGGCTCGCGTACACGAGTGTGGTGGCACCCGTCGCAGCGAGCGTTTGTCATCCAGCGTGTTTGAGGAAATTGTTTCAGCGGCTATTGCTTTTAAAACAAAGCAGTCAACTCCCTGAAGGAAGGCCGTGCGGCCGATGGGATGTAAACAAAAAAAATGCGGCGAGACAAATATGGCAAGGAGGCGTATGTCTGCGAATTGACCGACTTGATATTCTCCACAACGATGCAACTCGTCATTTTGTGGTTGGTACCACGTCGCTCAATTAGGAATAACGTTGGGGCAAGTGCTGTTGGCGAGTAACTATGAAGGCCGGCACGACGCACGAGGGGGTGGGTGGACAGCACCACGACCGGCCGCCTTTGTCTCCCCAGTGGCGATGTTGACACATCGCACCAGGTACTCGTTTGAGGCCGAATCGACCTGGGGGAGGTCCAGGACCGGTTCAGATAATCGTCACCGGTGTTGGCCGTGAGCGGGAATGAAATTCGGGCCGCCGGGTTCGTAGCGCAGCGTAGCGCTAACCGCTAAACTACCGCTCCCCACACACACACACACAGACTTCTACACACACACACACACTCACGTGCGTGTGCCAGTTTCCCCGCACGGGTTTCCACAGGCTGTGCCTGTTGTTTGGGCGCGCACACCGAGCACGCTGGCACACGGGCGGACACGCCTGGTCACGATTGGTCTCATGACAGGCGGGGGGGTTGTTGCGCGGCCGCGCGGTGACCAAACGCCTCCCACGGCCACCGCCTCAGTTGGCAACAAGTAAAACGCCACGCACGCGCCGTGGATTAACGGCACCGCGCGCCGACAGAGATTATGTTTCGCATGTGGGATAACATGTAGAGCACACCGCAAATCTATTAAGCTACGTGGCAGCAAAGGTCATAAATGCTTCGTGTTTAAATGTTGGATTACGATTAATATTCAGTCGATTTGTCATATTCAATAAAAATGCAAGACACGGCGACCTTAATCCCAAAACCCATACAGAAATGTGGCGTAATATATTGCCGTATGCCGATCTTGCAAAATTACCTCTTACGGGTAGAACAGCTTTAAATTCAGACGCTTTAACCTTTGAAAAAGCGTGTAATGTGATTGCATAATAATTTTCAGGATAATTTATGGGAGAGAGCGCACATTTCCAGTGTGCAGCATTCTGCATGAACACTCACTAGGGACTGGATTACTAAAGCGCTGCAAAAAGGGGGGGCGGTGGACGGTGCACGGTGGACGGTGCACGGTGGACGGTGCACAGTGGACGGTGCACGGTGCACGGTGCACGGTGCACGGCTTTGGTGCTGCCGGTGACCGCGACGCCACAGCCACGCGACCCTCGTAATGACCCTAACACCCCGCGTGGCAGCTACGAGCGTGAGGCACCGACCTTGGGCCATGCGAACCGCTGCTGTGCACCGCTTCGTTTCGTTTATCAGCGGGTGTCGTTTATTAGCGGGTGTTTGACGAGGTGCGATCTTCATTAGAGAAATTGACGCCGTATAAGTGAGCGCGGGTGAGTTCATGTGCTTGCGTGTATATGGTGGGGAGTGGCAAGCGTAGCGGTTAGCGTGCTACGCTACAAATCCGCGGTCCGAGTTCGATTCCTGCTCACGGCCAAAGCCAGTGACAATTATCTGGACCGGTCCTGGGCCTCCCTACTCAGCCTCAAATGAGTACCTGGTGCGGTGTGTAAACATCGCTACTGGGGAGACAAAGGCGGCCGGGCGTGGTGCTGGCCACCCACCCCCTCGTGCGCCGTGCCGGCCTTCATAGGTGCTCGCTTACAGAACTTGCGCCAACCAACGAAACCTCTCCGCAATGACGAGTCGACAATAACCGGGCCAGGTGGCGCGGCGGTGGTCGCAAGTGGCTCGCAATCGAAAGGTCGTAAGTTAAATTCCAGTTTGGCGGTTGACTCTGCCATCATCGCTCCAGGGTCGATCAAATGAGTGTCACTTAAGCGCCTTGAGATGATTTTATAAAAAGGCCCGTTATGAACTGTAATCATCATCATTATTATTGGTCTTCTCATGGATAGGCCTGCCCGTGCCATAGGAACGTGGAATTTCCACCACTGCCTCAGGCCTGTAAACTAGAAACGAGCACCGCCACAATGCTCATTTCATCAGAAAATCACTTTTGACTTTTGATCTACAACATGAACAACTATGGTCACAGGAGTGGTTTATTGCAAATGGAGGGCATTCCGTCCTCTGTGGGAAATCCATCAAAGCCTGCAACGAGAAATCTACACAATCCAAATTCTCTTGGAGTGGAGTCCGAATCTGGCAGGCTACCCCATTTATGGATGCGGCTGCGCATCAACTGTAAAATACTACGTACGAGCTGTCTGCTTCCAAGTGGATGTTACAGATGCCGGGCATCGCGGCCTAAATTGGACAAATTCGATAAATGGCCCGCAAATGACTCAATTGAGATGACACGTAAATCGCCCCCCGTTGTAAAACTTCTGCAGAAGTCTGCGTGCAACACAGCCATTGTGGCGGTAGCAGCCTTGCGCCATAATAACGATGCCAACAGCGAACCTACTAAATTATGCTCTCCATGAAACAACAGAAAAGTTCTGGGACCTGTGGATTCTGTGATTCGTGTAAGCAGGGCAAAGGAGGAGACCGAATGCGACTCCTGTACATACCGGCGACACCACGGGGAACAGCACAGTCGGGCGGCTTGAAAAGGAATCCCCTCGACTCGAACCTGCGGTGAAACATACACAGAACACAAAAACAAAGACTCTGATCCTCCATTAAAGGCCTTAACGGACTGTTGAGGGTAAGTTCCAATTGTAAGTACAGGGGGAGAGGTCCCTCCCGATGTACATCTCCTCGATATATACATTGTTTATAGACGTTGTTTATATACGTTGTTTATATACGTTGTTTCGCACTCACGTCGCTGACTGTTTGAGGAACCCAACGTAAAATGTCCCCCGCACGCACACGTCGTTACGGCGTTTTCGACTCGGTTCAGCCAGACTGTGCAACTACTCTTTAGCGCATGCCCCGCCACCTTCTCAGTCCCATCGTGTCCCCTCTCACATGCTGCGTAGCGAGTGCTCATTGTAATCGGCGTGTCGACTTCGTCGCAGAATATCGTCGCAACCCTTCAACAATGAGTAGCAAGCGTCGTGCTTAGTGACGGCGCAGGTGATGAGCGTAAGAAAAAGCGCAGCAGTATCACGCTCCATGTTAAAATGGTAGCGATAAAGCGAAGGAGAGAATGTGAACGCGCGGTTGATATTGGGCGCAATTTGAGTGTGCGTACGATAGTGAAGGACGCTGATGAATTCTTAATTAAAGCCAAGCGTGCTTTCAAGCACGAAGTGTGGCCACGGAAAAAGTGGAACGATTTCCCGGCCTTTACGGATCTGAGGATCTGCACAAGAACATGCCGATCAGCTTAGCATCTCATTCAGGAGAAGGCCCTAAGCCTGTATGAGGACTTGAATATGGAGTTGGGACAGGAAGGAAGCAGCGAAAGAGAAACCATTCAAGGTCGCGCGTTGACGGTTCTACAGATTTCAGGCACGATAACGTTTAAAGAACGTAAACATACAGGGAAAGTCGGCCAGTGCCGACGTAGACGCTGCAGAAACGTTTCCAGACATTTAAAAAAAAAATTTGAAGGTGTTTAATCCTCTTCCCAACACCTCCAAAGCAAACACAACTCATCCACTCCTCAAGATAAGATCGTAAAAATGATAGGTTAAGGTAAAATATTTTTAAAATGCCGCTTGAGATTGTGCTTTTTACACTAAAATGGTTTTCTTTTTTATTCGTCGCTTGGAAATGTCACAAATACGTGTCGTATTAAAAAAAGGAAAACTTTTTAAGTGTACAGGGATTCTTTCTTAATATTCATGAAAATTGTTTTCAGTCAAATGTTTGATAGGTATGAATGCTGTTTCAAGGTTCTTGAACCTGGTTATAAATATTCATATTCTTAGCTCTTTCGGTAAAGTCACGTTGAAGGGAAACAATAAAATAATAAAATATATATAAAACAAATGTTTACATTGTGTTGTACATTATAATGCAGGTACTGTACATGTACATGCACAGTACCAGGTTTTCTGTACATGTACAATAATATTGTGGTTGCTAGGTATGAAACTCAACATTCCCTAAGTTATGGTCCCTATCCCTACCTAATTCCATTGTTTTTTATGGGAGACACTGCCCCGCTTTGCGTCGCAGGGGCAATGTTTAGCCTCTTACAGTCCCGATCATCCCCAAAACCTGCCGCCCCATTTCCCATTAATCTTATGGGAGGAAAATCCCACGTGATGCATCGCTTCGTTATAAGTCGCAACTTCCCGGTCCCTAACCCCGACGTATATCGGCGGACCCCCCCTGTACCTACAAAGGCAAACACGGCGCACAGAGAGCTTGCACGACCAGCACCGGCCGCTCTGTCTCCCCTTTAAGGCTGAGTCGACCAACGGGACGTCGAGGGCCCAATCGGAATTTTTTACTGGCCGTGCAACTTGGGTCGCATGCTAACCGCTGCGCCACTGCTGCCCAGACAACAACAAACAACAACAACAACAACATTCACATGACAGCAGTCACAGTCATTCCAGATGTTGCGCTGCAGGCACCATAGACGTACAGCACACTCCAAATGCCCACACAGATACTGGTTTCACACCACACAATCTTACCCTAGTGCGCACCGAGGGATAGCTGGCAAGAGTGTGCCGCTGACTTCGTATGTACGTTGAATTTCTTTCGCACCGTACGTAGCCAACCGTGCGAATCGGAGGTGCGGGGGAAGAGCAAACTAAACAATCCTAAAAATTATGTTTTCAATAGCTCCATTGGCTTCCTAATATCGGAAGAGCGTTCCAGACGGCGGCAGATGTGCATCAGTAAGCGCGCGATGCGGTGACTGTCTTTGTTCGATGGCGATAGCCAAAACAAAAATAAATAAATCACATAAACGCGATATCCGGCTTTGTGCAGAGGCCACGTAACACCGCTGCCACTGAGCTCACGTCAACACACACACGCACACACGCACACACGCACACACGCACACGTCACCGAGAACAGGACGCTGGCTACCTGTTATATAAATAACAAGAGGCGGGCGACGTGGCCATTTAGCGCCTGGGTGGCCAGGGTCACAGGGAAGGGATCTCTATGGGTCGCTGGCTGCACGGAGAAAGCATGACCCACAGTGACTGGCGGACACGTATTTGTGACATTTACAAGCGATAAATGAAAAAGAAAACCATTTTAGTGTAAAAAGCACAATATTAAGCCTTTTGGCGTCCTCTGGTCTAACACCTTTTGAGACGAGGCTCAAAAGAAAGCTGTCTCTGGTGTGGACCAATCAGTTTCAAGGACAATGCATCATATTATCAGTGTGTTTTTTGTTTAATTTTGACCACAAGTATCGTGGTTAATGCAGACATGATTCCCCGTAAAAAAGGTTTCAGTTTTGTTGCCAAAAAAAAGTGGAAAAAGCTATTCTTATATTTATATTTACATGATATAACCCAAAAAGACCTCTATTATATATTTGGAGTTTGCATGTCTCTTTTTTTTTCTCCGGGTGCTCTGGTTTTTCCCTCCACATATAAAAATCATGCTTTTCGAGTATTTGGCTGCGATAAATCTCCACATGATGACAAGTCTCTTCGTTGAGCTATCACTTGTGGCCAGGTAGCTTCTGATAAAGAGCTACACAGCTCAGTGGGCCTTAGCCTGGTATACAAATAAACACAAATAGGGGTTATACCGCCAAAAACGGGCCAGGTAAATAAGTAGCCTCACCCAAAAAAGACATTATTCCTTGTAGGAAAAAGCTTCAGTTTTGTTGCCAGAAAAAAAGGGGAAAAACCTTTTCTTTTATTAAAAAAATATTTTACCCAACTAATTTTTTTCATAATATAGCTTTTTTGGGTTGGATCGATGCAATATAAATGTGTCGGTTAAGCCCGCCACCACCCGACACAGCCAATTAGTAAGGTTTGTCACGTAAACAAAACATGCCAATTAGTTACTACTTCAGCACACCGGTGTGTTTGGAGAATAAACCCACAAAATTTACAATTCGAGTTCGACATTTCGCCGGGAATTAAAACCAGCCTCATTGGCCACGAAAGCCTACGTGGTTAAACTCACCGCACAATGGGAAATACACGAAACAAACATCACGATTATAGTCTTCAACCTGCGAGTTGATCTTATTCACACAATAAATCTAGCAAACGCCTCCTCCGGAATGTCCATGAATATCGGACTCTTCCGTAGTCTACTCGGACAGCGTAACATTCTCTTCTTGCCAACTCTTGACCATCTAGGGCAGACGGGTGGTGGAGCAACGGCGATGCGCAACGCCTCACCAGACGACCCGAGTTCGATTCCCAACTCTGGGTTCTGGGTTCCCTGGTCTCCTTCCACAGCTAAACACACACAGACGGTAGCTGGGATTTCTCAATTTCTCAACTGGGATTCCACGGAACAAACATTGACCCCCCCTCCTACAATAACGGTGGCACAACCCTCCTGAAAAAGCCTTTACACTCAGTGAGGCTTAACTCAAGGTGAAAATAATCTTATGACGTTCTTCCAGGACTAGATAACCAAGTCGTCCTACTTATAGCATGAGCAGTGAGACAGTGGATTTACAAAGGCTGAAGATGAATCATTGTTCATGAGAAGTCGAACAAAACTGAATTCTCACTCAAATCCATGGCCAAAAAAATCCACACAGCCTTCTAGGAGTGCATAATCCAGCAGTATTGGTTCAACAAAAGCAAACTCTGGACCGGCTTCAACATTCGGTGTCTGATCTGCAAGTCAGGCTTGCTTGAATCAAGGCTGATGAACTGCCAAATGTTTATAGGCAAAGACTCTGTCTGTAAGATAGGGGTCCTAGTTATCAGGGTCCTAGTTATCAGGGTCCTAGTTATCAGGGTCCTAGTTATCAGGGTCCTAGTTATCAGGGTCCTAGTTATCAGGGTCCTAGTCATCAGGGTCCTAGTTATCAGGGTCCTAGTTATCAGGGTCCTAGTTATCAGGGTCCTAGTTATCAGGGTCCTAGTTATCAGGGTCCTAGTCATCAGGGTCCTAGTCATCAGGGTCCTAGTCATCAGGGTCCTAGTTATCAGGGTCCTAGTTATCAGGGTGCTAGTTATCAAGGTCCTAGTTATAAGGGTGCTAGTTATCAGGGTCCTAGTTATCAGAGTCCTAGTTATCAGGGTCCTAGTTATCAGGGCCCCAACCAGGCAGACGTGTCCTAAGCTAAGAGAAGATTGCTGCAGCAAACTCGTTTAAAAAAAAACCCACGCACAGTAGCAGCATCCCCTTGTGGCATTACACACACACATCTCAAATTCCAGCGTCACAGCTCAACGCAATTCGAGACTGGGTCCTCTGCCTTCACACGACGGGCAAAGGTCAGTGCGGACCCGCGAGTGGGTCGGCGCTTGCGCCGCGTGGAACACGACCAGCGACGTGGGGGGACAGCTCGACAAATTGCATCCATCGCTGCCGCTGTGGAACCTCGGAGGCCGCCAGTGGCTAATCCACCGCCCAGTTTACTACAAATATATATTCTAGATTTAAAGCTTTCGTGACTGCAAGGATCCATACTCTTTGGTTCTATTCGGTAAAGTCACGTAAGGACCACTGAGTTGTCCAGCACTTTTCAGAAGCGACCTGGCCACAAATGATAGCTCAGCAAAG